TGTTACCGACGGCTACATTGGTGGTGTTAGATGATGATAATGTGAAGATCGTCATCCCGTCTGACGCCTCAACTTACTCCGATATGTCTTTCGTTGGGGCCGTGGCAGATTCTTTCCCTCTTCTCAAAGATGAGCGCTAACTTGGGTGGTCGAGCAAACAGTGGCTTGGATTTTTCAGGTGATTGACCCCATTCTCTTGTGTCGCTTGCCCCCTTTTTACTTAGCCTAATTCGTTTATTATTTCACGCTTGTAGACCTTCTCTAGAGGTGCTCATCTTCAGAAGTTAGTCAGCTCGTAGGACTGAAGGAATAAGGAGTTGGAACGGCGCAATAAGAAGCTCGTCGATGCTGCCTCTGAGTTGGAAAATAGGCTCCATGCGGGGCAAGAAAGAGAAGAGCGGCTAGAGAAGGAACGCACGAAATTCGCTCGATTGCTACAGAGGGTTAGAGCCGAGTGGGAGGCTGAAAGGGCCTCGCTTCTTTGCAGACTGGAGACCGTCTCTATAGAGGCAATTTTGAAAACTCGCTTGGAACTCATAGAGGAGTACAAGGTAAGGAAATAGGTCGAATGGGAGCCGGATGATGAAATAGCAGAGTACAAAGCATTCTTTGCAAAACGATATCTCAGACCTGAGTCGGATGTCCTTGGGGATGAAATCAAAGCGCCAGAGGCTGATGTTGGCAGGTCGGTTGAAGGACCATAGGAGACAACCAGCAATGAAGTGGCATCAAGTGAACAGCTAACTAGGGATGTGTCCAAGCGGCGCGGCTCAGCCACTGAAGATAACCAGACATCTTTTTTTTTTTTTTTTTTTTTTTTTTTTTTTGAAGCTTCGGAGTGCACCTTTAGGGTGTAAGTGCCGAGTACATTGAATGATGTTTAATTATAGTCTGTTGGGCGTTTGTATGGGAGTTCGGCTCCTTCTGTTTATCTTATAATGGTTGTTTCAATTTTGTTGAGGTAGAATAGCCCGAGAGGTTGATAGGGATGTCCATCGCTTTGGCTTAGCAAATCCAGAACTCCTAAACAATTATGAAGCTTGAATAAAATTTTTATTAATTGGGTGATAATGAAGTCTAAGTTGGAGACAACAAAAAACGTCTAACGGAGATGAGGGGAGTGGACAGACCCACTATGTCTCCCGTAAAAATCAGAAAAAAAAAAAGAGGTGGAGCTAAGCCGACTGACTATAAAAAACGATAAGTTTTTAGGTGCGTGGCATTCCAACTATTGGTGATGTTCTTGCCTTCTGGTGTTTGTAGTTGGTATGCCCATTTGCCAACAACTTTTGTGATTATATAGGGTCCCTCATAAGTAGGACCGAGCTTGTCGGCTCCTGACACCTTTGTGTTTTGGAAGACTTGGCGCAAAATCCAATCGTCGACTTCAAAGATTCTTGCTCAGACATTCTTGTTATAGTGTTGAGCTACCTTTTGTTGGTATGCGGTGTTGTGAATTAACGCTTAGTCTCGTAATTCGTCGGCGAGGTCGAGGTTGTGACAAAGTTATTGCCTGTTGTCGTCTTCATTTATCCACTAGAGGTGTGCCGATAAACATCCTACTTCTGCGGGGATAACAGCTTCTGAGCCATAGGCCAACGAAAATGGTGTTTCTCCTGTTGACGACCGTGCGGTGGTGCGGTAGGACCATAGTGCCCTAGGAAGTTCGTCCACCCAAGTGCCTTTTGCTTTTTGTAATCTCTTCTTCAATGTCTAGAGAATGGTTTTATTTAAGGATTCAGCTTGCCCATTGGCTTTGGGCTATCGGGACGTGGAGAAGCTTAGCTTGATGTTCCATGCCTTGCAAAAGTCTTGGAAGCCCGAACTGATAAACTAGGAGCCATTGTTTGTGATTATCTCTTTGGGTGGGCCGAACCGACAAATGACGTTCTTCCATATGAAGCTTTTAACTTCGCAATCTCTGATTTGGGCAAAGGTTTTCGCTTTTATCCATTTAGTAATGTAGTCAGTGACTACTAGCATGTACACTCATTGGCCTGGCACGGTTGGTAGCTTTCCGACGATATCAATTCCTTACTTCATGAATAGCCACATGAGTATAGAGATGAGCCGTTCTGGCGGAAGGTGTGAAACTTTGGAGAAGTGCTAGCAACTGTCACATTCCTTTACGTACTTGGCCACGTCGATGCACATGGTGGGCTAGTAATAGACAGCTGTCAATGCTCTATTAGCCAGACTCCGCCCCCCAGCGTGTTTGCCGCACTTGCCTTCGTAGAGCTCTGCGAGTACGTACTTTGCTTCCTTACTTCATGTATGGCCACGGTGTGAGTATAGAGATGAGCCGCTCTAGCGGAAGGTGTGAAACTTTGGAGAAGTGCTAGCAGCTGTCACATTCCTTTACGTACTTGGCCGCGTCGATGCACATGATGGGCTAGTAATAGACAGCTGTCAATGCTCTGTTGGCCAGACTCCGCCCCCCGGCGTGTTTGTCGCACTTGCCTTCGTGGAGCTCTGCGAGTACGTACTTTGCTTCCTTACTTCATGAATGGCCACGGTGTGAGTATAGAGATGAGCCGCTCTGGCGGAAGGTGTGAGACTTTAGAGAAGAGCTGGTAGCTATCACATTCCTTTACGTACTTGGCCGCATCGACGCATATGGTGGGCCAGTAATAGCCAACTGTCAATGCTCTATTGGCGAGACTCTGCCCCCCAGCATGTTTGCCACACTCGCATTTGTGGAGCTCTAAGAGTATGTACTTTGCTTCCTCTAGAATGATGCACTTGAGGTATGGTCCCGAGAATGATCTTTTGCAAAGGCAGCCATCATATATGGTAAATCGTGCCGATTTGGCTCTGAGCCGCCTTGCTTCATTTTTATCATTGGGGAGTTCATCGTTCTCTAAGTAGTGTAGGATGGGTGTCATCCACGAGTCGTTCGAGCCAACTAGGGCAGCTTTGGTCTAGCTGGGGGTGATTGCCAATGTCTGTTGATGTATTAGTGAGATTTTCATTGGCTGTTCGACCTTAAAGGTCGAGCCGATGTTGGCGAGGGTGCCTGCATGGGAGTTTTTGATCCTTAGGATTTGGTTGATCGTGCATTCTTCAAAAGATGACTGGAGTCATTTGGCTAAGGTTAGATACGAGTTCATCTTGGTATCTCGTGCTTGATAGGAGCCCTAAAGTTGGTTCACCACCAATTGTGAGTCTGATTTTACCTGTATCTTTTTAATCCTCATTCATTTGGCCAACGAGAGTCTAACGATCAGCGCTTTGTACTCGGCCTCATTATTGGTTGCTTTGAATCTACACCGGATGACTTAGTATAGAATGTCTCCCTCTAGGGAGGTGAGTACCAGACCTAACCCACAATCGTTGGCGTTACTTGAGTTGTCCACTACCAAGGTCCATTTTGAAGGTGTGTGGTTAGTCAAGCATAAGAGCTCTCTCTCTCCACCTAGAGGGAAGTGTCAGGTGCGAAATTGGTAATAAAGTAAGCTAGTGCTTAGGATTTAATAGCGGTGTGGGATTGGAAGGAGATGTCAAACTCGATTAGTTCAATCGCCCATTGAATGAGCTGACCCGAAAGATTTGGCTTGTACAATATCTTTTTCAATGAGTAAGATGTTAAAACCATGATAAGGTGGCACTGAAAATATAGTTGTAGCTTCCGTGCAATTGTGACCAAAGCGAGGGCCAGCTTCTCAAGTTAGCTATACAAACTCTCGGCGTCGAAGAGAGATTCGCTGGTATAGTAGATTGGGAGTTGCCTCCCTTTTTCCTCTCGGATCAGGACTACAGAGGTAGCTGACTCCAATACTGCCAGGTAGGAGAAGAGTCGTTCACCTGCCTTTGGCTTGGAGAATAGTAGGGGCAATGTTTAGGTACCGCTTTAGTTGGGTTAATGCTTCTTCGCATTCCTCCATCCATTCGAACTTTTTTAACTTCCTAAGTGACGTGAAGAAGAGATGACATTTTTACACAGACTTGGAGATGAACCAACTAAGGGAAACTATCCTTCCTGTGAAGCATTGTACGTCTTTTATGCTGGTTGGAGAGAAGATTCGCAGGACTGTCTCGATCTGGTCTAGATTGGCTTCGATGTCGCACTATGTCACCATATATCCAAGGAACTTCTCCGAGGATACGTCGAATGAGCATTTGGTCGGATTTAGCTTCATGTTGTATTTTTGTAGCACCTTAAAGGCTTGCCGAAGGTGGTTGAGGTGTTGTTCAGTGATCAGTGACTTTACCAACATGTCGTCGATGTAGACCTCCATGGAGTCTCCCAATAAGTTGGAGAACATTTTGTTCACTAGTTACTGGTAGATGGCCTCGGCATTCTTCAGGCTGAACGGCATCACTTTGTAGCAATAGATGTCTCGCTCGGTAATGAAGGCGGTCTTCTCTTGGTTGTTTGGGTGCATTAGGATCTGGTTGTACTTTGAGAAGACATCCATAAAGTTGAGCAGTTCGTGTCCGGCGGTGACATCCATTAACATGTCTATGTAGGAGAGTGGGAAGGAGTCTTTTGGACAAGCCTTATTCAGGTCGGTGAAATCGATGCAAACTCTCCATTTTCCATTCTTCTTTTTCACTACCACCACGTTCGCCAACCAATTTGGGTATTAAACCTCCCGAACCGAGCTGTTCCAGAATAGTTTCTCCACCTCCTCGTGTATCACCTTGTTTCTCTCTGAGGCGAATCTTCTTCTTTTCTGTCTCACGGAAGAGATGTCCGAGTCAGCATTTAGTCAATGCATTATAGCTTCGGGATCGATCTTGGTCATATCAGAGTGAAACCAAGCGAAACAATCTTGGTTCTTCTCCAGGAAGTCAATCAGCTTTCTACAGATATCAAGTGAGAGCCGAGCCTCTATTTGTGTCTTTCTGTCTGGGAACTTTAGGTGTATTTGGACCTCGTCTAACTCCTCCATTGCTGATTGGTTCGGCTCTATCTGTCCCGTTGGAGGTGTTTGTAGTTGCTAAAAGGTGCCACAGTTCGGTTTGAATGCGTTTTGGTAACAATCTCTAGAAGCTTTCTAGTCTTCCTTAATCTCTTTGATGCCCCATTTGGTGGGGAATCTGATCGTCTGGTGGAAGGTTGAGGAGATGGCTCGCATGCTATGAATCCATGGCTGACTGAGGATCACGTTGTAGGGAGAAGATGCGTCTAATATCATGAAAGCGGTTTGCTGGTTAATCCCTTTGGCATAGATTGGTAGGGCAATTTCTCCCAGGGTATATTTTTGTTCCGAACTGAATCCCACGAAGAGCGTTGGACTGTAGTTGATGCTAGACTCCTCCAACTTCATCACCCTGAATGCTTCGAGGAACATGATATTAGCGGAGGAGTCGGGGTCTATCAGGATTCTTTTGACAATGATGTTGGCAATCTGGAAGGTGACTACGAGCGCATCATGATGAGGATTCAATAGCGTTGCCGCCTCATTGTCCATGAATTCTATAGTCAGGTTTGTTGCTCTTTGATGTATCGGTCTTAGGTGTTGGAATCGTGGGTTGGCTACCACCCGGGCATGGCAGTTCGCTGAGGAGTAGTTGACTGCACTAACCTCCGATCCGCTTGAGATGACCTCGCACATTGCGTCTGCCAGGAAGGTTTTTGGTGACTGAGTAACTTGGCGATCTTTGTTGGTCAATGTGCTTTTACCCTTGTCCGTTAGGAACTCGCGAAGGTGTCCTCTTTTTAGCAGCTCGGCGACTTCGAGGTGAAGTGCAATGTAATTGATGGTGTTATGGTGGTGATCTCCGTGAAATTCGCACCACTTGGTGATGTCCAGCTTCGCTCCCAGGTGCTTCAGCTTGACTGGCCATCTGACCACGTTCCCCATCTCCTTCATCACCACTACTACTTCTAGTGGCTTGATATTGAGGTTGTAGTCTGGTAGTTTATACTTGGGTGGCGTGCGGTGTTTGCTGTTCTGAGCCGAAGGGCAGTCTAGTTGGCGCCTATTATCCTAAACAAAAACTCTCCTGCTCGAGTAAGGCTCTATTGGTCTTGTGTCCTGGCGTTTTTCAGGGTGCCGAGAGAGGCAATCCTCGTGGGTGCTCTGTTTGGCTAGATGAGCCCCATCTTCCTCCCACCTTATCTCAACCCAAGCACGAGCCAACACTTCTTCCATGGTATTGTAGTTAAATTTGGTGAGCTCTTTGTACAGTTCTTCATGTGGGAGCAAGTCCTTCCTAAAGGTGTCGACTGCGGTCTCTTGGTTGCAGTACGAGATTGAGACTTTTTTGCAATTGAAGTGTCCCACGTTGTCTCATAAGGGCTCGCTGCAGTGCTACAGGATCCGGTAGAGGCCACTGGATAGTGTCTCCAACTTTTTGCTACTTGCAAATTCCTCCACGAAGGTATCTGTGAGTTGGGCGAATTAGGGGATCGAGTGGCTTGGAAGGTTGGTGTACCCCTGCGCGGGCCCTATTAGGCTAAAGCCGAAGCTCTTGTACATGCATGCCTCACGGAGATCCCTTGGTATGGCAGCGGCAAACATTCTCTGCTTGTATGAGGCTATATGGTCATTCGGGTCGGTGGTGTCGTTGTATAACTTCATGTTTGGGAAAGTGAATTTGCGGGGCATATCTGCGAGAGCTATGGTATCCACAAATGGCGACTCGACGTAGCTCTGGAATTGATACTTTTTTAGGCACATTGGCACCCCCGGGATGCGTTGGATCATGGCTTCTACTTCGGCTAGTCGTTTGGTCAATGTTTGCTCAAGGGCGGTTTGTGTAGGGGTACTGAGGTTCTGGAGGAATTGTGGGAACACTCTTGGGTTGATGTGAATGGTCGTGCCGAACGGTATGGCTTGGGGAGTCATTTCGGTTAGAGACTGTAGGGGGTGCGTTTGTTGGTGTGCAAGATGGGTGTCCAATTGTTGGGGAGGCACGGTTTGGGCATGTGTCATGGTAGTTAGGTGGGCAAGTTCATGGGGATACTTTTCCTGAGTCGGCTCGGCCACATCCGTAGTGATGTTGGGGTTTTGGTTAGTGTAGGCATAGGGAAGGTGCCGATTTCTAGGCTTAGAAACAATTGTCTGGGTTGAATGGGGGGTCGGGAGGTGGATGTGTGATGCTGGTTGAATGAATAATCTAAAGAGTAAAATTGATTTATCTTATCTTGGAGAGCTTGATTCTCGGTGCAAATGGCGGCATTCTGCGTCTCCAAGACTTGGTACTTCTTGTTGCTTTCCTGCACCAAAGCGGTGAGTGCTTCGATCTGAGTCGCAACGTCTGGCACTGTACTTTCGGTGTGGTTGGTCATGATAGTCTGGCAGGAGGGAAAGGTTGAACAGCAGGTCGTACTCGATCGTATGGTTGGCAGGGCCCCACAATGGGTGCCAAATTGTAAACAATAAAATTTACAACCGAAGGTAGAATCTTGTGAAGAGGGCCATTGACAACCTTGATGGACCTGCGAAGCGTCTTCTTGCGTATCAATTGGAACTTTAATGAAGCGAGGGAAGGCTTGAAGGTACGTAGACTAAAGCTTCAGGGTGGTCTTTTTTATTTTTTCCCTTAATGAGAGGACCGGCCTCAGTTTATATAGTAAACCTTAATAGCTCGAATCCTAGAAGGACTTTGAGTCCTACTTCGTAAGAGAACTCTCTTTTCGGGAAGAGATTGAATTTTTTGCCTTTATCTCTCAAAGCTTTTCTCTTTGGGTGAGATACAGGATCTTGTCAGAAGAGGAATTTGGGTAGAATTCTGATCCTTGTCATGGACTACTGTAGGCGAATGGGCCGGATCCAGTTTGGCTTAACTCGAGAGATGACCCAACTCATAGAACAGACAATTCCCAAAGTATTCTAAGCATGAGCCCGATCGAGATTGGGCCAAGGCTCTGGGCCGTCACATATCATTGTTGCGATTGGACCTCGTCATGTCCAATATGAATTTTGGCCCATACACCATCCATCACAAACTTTTAATTGATAAATATTATAAAATCATAATTTTGAGATGAAATTTCATCAAGTAATTGATGATTGACTGATTGATTGATATTACGTACCCTTCTTCCTACGCAAACACAAATTAAATGATGCTCTCTAAGATTAATAGGAAGATGTAAGAACTCTTAACGGATTAGGCAGTTGAGAACAAATTGTCTACATCGTTTGTTTTGTTTTAATTAAATAGGATAATATCCATAATTAAAATGTTTATTATTTTCTATTTTATTATGGTTTAAACTTTTCTCTTAAATTGAATTCCTGATATTAGTATTTGCTGTAATAACGGTGATATTAGATAATTAATAGTTGTAGATGCTGATGTTTACATTTTTTTTTTTTAATTTAACTCAGGTCTAACTTAAATAAATGTTTTAACAAATAAAATTCTGCAAAATGCAAATTGCTATGAGCTCTTGTTCCCATAAGTTTTGCCTCCAAATTTGAGGTGTAAATTTAAATAAATTTTGGATTTAGGATTGTTGTGTGTCTTTAGAAAACAGAACTTAATTGGATAAAATTTATGTACTGAAAAAGAAAATTTCAATGCATTAATATAATAATTTTTTAATTATTTTTCTAATAACTTTAACATATACCATCAAGACACATTAAGATAATTCAACAATATAACAAAGTAAATACAGTAAAACTTCTATATAGTGATACTCTAAGACCTCCATGTAATCATAAAAAATTATAGTCCCAACTTGAGCCAGTTTTATATAAGAATAAATTTCATAGTGTAATAAGTTATGATTTTTATAGATCTCTACATAATAATATTATATGTATATTGCAAAAAATATATATTTTGTTATATTAAAGGTTTAATTAAAATAAAATATTTATTTAAAGTTGTTTGAGACAATAGTTTATGCTTTAGAGTTGTTACTACATCATTTATTTTGCGGGTACATAATAAGTCGCCAACATGAACACCTTCTTATTGAAGTTAAAATATTTATAGTTTCTCAAGTATGTTTAGAGTTTCTTGGCACGAAAACTTTTGATATTTTCGTACTATCATCCTCAAAATTGTCTTTTTTCTCTTCTTGTCTAATTCTAGTAATGATTTATTTTTCAGTTAAAGGATATACAACTTTTTGCTCATTTGGATGATTGAGGAAGACATTAATATCCAATTGATTAGTATAGTGAAGTTGTCGAATCTAATCACTCAATTCTGTAATGACTCTTTGATATCTATTTATGTACTATCCTAATGCTACTAAAGCAATGAATTGAAATCATAATACTACAAAAATATAAATTATAAAATAAGAAATCAAAACAATAATTTTTTAATTAAAAAATAATAATTTTTGTAACTACACCTCTATTAAGTTATAACCTCTTCATAGTAATAAATTTAGCTGGTCCTAACATTATGACTATAGAGAGATTCTACTGTAATTGATTTGATGCGAAAATGTGTAGTAATTATTTATTATATCATTTTTAATTTGTATATTAATTAATTATTCATTTACATTATTGTAAATAAAAACTGAATAATTACTTTCAATTAATATCAATTAACAGTTATCAATAAATTATATATACTTAACAATTTATATTTGAATTATCTTAATTTGAAACTATTAATTATACAAGAAAAGAATGTCATATAAACCAATGTTTTAAAACCTGACCCGCCCTGGTCAGTTTAACCGAGAGCTCCACCAGGTAGGGTTATCAATTTCTCTATTAGCCCAAAACCCTAGAATTTGTGATGACGATTGGCGAACAATTGAAGGCTTGGATGTTGGGGCTTTTGAAGAGAAAGTGCTGGTGAGTGCAATGGTGGCAACGGAGTTGATTTCCAGTGAGTGAATCAACCAAAAATTGAAAAAAAGACGACGGTAAGGGTGAGGTGGGTTTTGGTTGGGAGAAAGAGGGAAGTATTTTCGTGGTGATTGGGAGGGTTGTTGATGTCGACGTGGATGAGATCTGACCTGAAATGTCAACGTCGGTAGCGGTGAGATTTGGCCGAAATTGATTGATCTTTGGTAGATTTTTCTGGGGAATGGCTCAAGAGATGATTAGGATTGCATTTGGGGTGTTGCCGTCGCCACCAATCTGTCATTGGCCAATTTGTATTTAGGGTGTGTTTGCTAAATTTCAAACCTGTAAAGACTTAACCTTAATTTTTAGGGGGTATTTGCTAAATTTTAAAAGTTTTGTCACCCAATTTGACTGATCGGTCAAACCGATTAAACTAGTCAATCCGAGACCCGACAACTTTGTCAGGTTTCACCCCAGGTTGGTTATTAAAACATTGGTATAAACATCTATCCCACCCATTAGACGGTACACAAATGATCACGAACTCAACCGCTCAATTGAACTTCAGCAGTAGCAACTTCTACAATAATGTTCACACGGGTCTATTAGAGAAAGGCAAATGCTCGGAGGCTACACATCCATTAATAAAAAGAAAATCAAGCACAAAACCAGCAAATATTACTATCAAAATGCTATGAACCGGTAAATATAGAAAAGATTACAAGCGATAGATTTATATCTGTACATCCTTCAACGCCAATTTTAGGCAAAAGCAAACAGCACATAACCCACACCAGTAGCCCTGCCAAGAATCTTAAATTCTAGGAAATTTGTCACTTAGAACCGTCTTGCTGAAACTGAAGTACCCCTATGTCTGCTTGACGGCATAGGACTTTGAGACCATGATGATGGTTTAAATGCTCTTGTGAGCAAGTTGGATGCTGCACCTGCACAAATTTTCCTTCGCTTTGCTTCAAGCTCCAGCCGTTTCTTATTTGACATGGAAGACCCAGATGGCTCGGGAAATATTGAAGCAGCTTTAATCAATGCTCGTTTATCCTTCCTATTCTTTTCAAACTTGGAAGAAAACCTCACATTTGCTGCAACAGCAGCATCTTCTTCACTTTTTGGTAGCAGTCGTAAGCCAAGACCCAGTTTCCTTGAAGAGGCCTCTTCTTCAGCAACTCTCTTCTTTTGAGACTGAAAATAAAGAGTGAATTTAGCACAATGTAGGAAAAATGAAGAACAAAAGAATAATTTGATCTCAGTGACATACTCTAAGTTTAGCCCTGAGAGCCTTGTTGAGAGCATAATCATCTGAATGCCTGGCATCAGAAACTCTCTGAAGGCTCACTAGTACTGGCTCCGCTTGTTTTTTCTTCTGCATGTCCTGTTCCTGGTGCTCAAGACGATAAAAAGGATCTGAAAGCTTACCCTTTTCTGCACGAAATAAAATATTTTCAGTTATTAGCTTCCATACAATAAGACAAACAATGATTTGCACCCTATCAAAATAACTGGCTTTTGTTTTACAAAAAACTTTAATTTGTTGGCTTTGACATGAATAACACTCATGGTCCAAGAAAGAGAAACCAAGATGGCCAGCTCTGAGACAGGGTGGACTCAATTCTATTTCTATCTCCATAAGATATACAAAACTTTAATTACACCACACGTATTACTAACCTTCATCTGCAGGGAGTTCAAGAGTCTCAGCATCCTCAACATCAAACTCCTCAATCTTCCGCTGGGCACCGCTAATAATAACATATTCACAGTTCTTTGGATCCGTCTGGATAACAATCTGATGTTTGCAGCATGCCGATTTCATGGAAAAGCTCCATATCTGAATGAAGAAAGATAATCTCTAAGAAAAGAAGCTACCGCTAAGAAGTAATTCTCCCATCAACCAAAAGTAATTCATACATGAATGACTACGGACCGTAAGCATATAATGAAAATGTAACCACAAATGGGCAAATTGGATAAACCTCTAGCACACTTGCTCATATTGACTCAGATTAACAGTACCAGTACAGAGTCAAATGAAATTTGCATAACATAAAGTAAAATCTCAATGTCAATGCATATGGACAGGATCCGTTAAGAGAGACTGTTAAGCTCCTTCAAATAGTGTGCCAGCACAAACATGGGTACAAGCAAAATTATCATCCAAATAATACACAAAGAATCACTTAAAAAAAAAATCCTTAACGTGTTCAATTCTTAACTTTGACACTAATACGAATATGCAAACAGTAGCAAAACATACCTTCGTAGAATAATAATTTCCCACTTGTTTCTTTTCTGCATTGAACCGAACACCCTTTGCTATCATAGAATTGCAGCCACCACACCATATATTGAAAGGCATTTCGAACCTGAAAACAAAACAATATCAATAGATGCAGAAATTAACATTTGGGCATAAAACATTCTGCATGGTAATATTTTAAGTCAAAAAAAGTTACAATAATATCATAAAAAGCCAATGATAAAGATCGGATGTGATACTACTAATCTGAAGATTAGCACTTATAGTGCAGAGCTATAATACTCAGAGAAAGGTAAGCTCTTAAGTGAAAACAATTTTAAACTTGAGTATAGTTCCAAAAATGATATGTTAATCTATAATGGTGCTCTCCAAACTGTTATATTTGTTGAAGAATTTTTGTTCCACTCTATCTATATCAAATTTAATTTCTGACACATCAAAAAAGAAAGTACATAGCAGCTATTGAATAGACATTATCACAAAGGTTCATTCTCATTTAGAAGATCACTTGCTAACCAGCATAATTGCAACAATAGTATCTGTAAATAACATAACTAGCTCCTATTCAAAAAGTTTATTCTTACAAACCTCACATGCATAGATCACAAGATTCTAGATAACAACCCCTGTTACTTTTTATTACCAAATGGCTATCCTTATAAAATACACTTGAGCACGGTCATGAACTCTTATCATTTCCCACTATCAAATAAGTTCATAGAAGCCAATATAGCACGAGTATTTTTCAAATATCAAATCAAGCATTCTGAGAAAGAGTCATACATTAAAACTCCCAGGAAAACAAAATTCGTTACCTTATAACCAAAATGCCCTGATCTATTTTTCTTGCTCTCTCCCTCAAAGCATGTTGACCATGAAACTTGTTCAAAGAACCCTGAAAAATAAAAGCAATATGAGAATGCACAATATAGATTTCATCGTAAACTCATCCAACAACTAAAAAAGTGCAAGGGCACCATGCATGCACATACCTGATTTGGTGTCCATTCTGGAGGATAGTAAAAATTGTCTGCTCTAGCAGCTGCAAGTGAAGACTACATAAACACAAAAAATAAAGTTTAGAAACAATATAAATTGATGAGAATCCAGGGGCAAAGCCAGCAATCAAAACACCATAACATCATTTTTTAACCCAGGAAAAAACTTAATTATCAATCAAACATGATTGATAAACCAAAATTCCAAATCCAGGACACAATTTTGACTCATACGAATTACTTGTCAATAAAGTAACAGAAAAATTACAATAACTAAGTAGACATACAAAAACCAAAAAAAAAAAAAGAAAAACTAACTCAATTTCATTCCACTGAAATTTTATAATAAACTAGGATCTTTTTTAACTGCACATATCTGTCTCCCCTAATTCACTATGTCAGCCTACAAATCTGCAAACAATTAGTCATATTCTGCAAACCAAACTGCCAAGAACCAAATTCTGGTCATAAAACATTAGCCAATCCTACACTTGGTCATTCATTACGCATAATTTCCAATAAATATTCTTGAGCCTTGATGTACTAATAAGAAATTTTCACACAATGAATTGATCAAAATTTTCTATGTACGATCTTTTCGTGATCATACCCAAAATCAAATACTCATAATTTATCAAAAAAATGAAACTAGAAATTACTCAATTAAGAGCCTTCAATTTCATCACCGTCTAATCCTATAAGATCTGCAATCAATTGATAACCCTAAAAACTAATGATAAACCCTAACTGTAGCGAAGGAAACGAGAAATCAAACAAAAGCACAAAATATTGAATCTAAGAATAATCAACTAAATATGAGAAACTACTTACCATACTTTCTTCTAATTCTCAAGATCAAGATCTCTGTTGAAAGATTTCTGATGATTACCTTCGCGTTTTGGTTGTAGAGGAAATTGTTGTCTTTGGCACCAATTATATCTTCTGTAATTTAATTCCACAATAGGGAAGCGCTGTCGTTTTGGTTTCCTATTCCATGGTACGAACCATTGTGCTCTAGAAAGTAGAAAGCGTATTTAGGCAGTTGAGGCCCAATCGAGAGACTCAATATTGGACCAAGTAAAATCCAACCCATCAACTACAATTATTTGCCTATTCCTCTTTTATGTATGGATGATATTAACCTTTATCATCACCTGTGATTAGTGATTACGGCTAACCTCAAGAGATAAAAGTGAATGTCATGGCGACTTTTTTTTTTTTTAACTTGTAAACGCTAAAATTTACAATCGAATTGAAGATTGAATCTTGTGAAGAGAGCCACTAACAACCTTGATGGACCTACGGGGTGCCTCCTTACGTCTCTGAGGGAGTCCTAGCGATGCGAGGGGATTGAAGTAGATAAGGGGTTTGACGAGATGAGAATCAGGGCTTAAGGGTGGTGTTTTTTGAATCCCCAATGAGGGAATTGGCCTCAGCTTATATAATGAACCACAAGGACTTGAATCTTAGTAAGACTCTGAGTCATATTTGATAGAGGAACTCTCTTTTCAGGAAGAGATTGGATTCTTTGCCTTTATCTGTCAAGGCTTTCCTCTTTGGGTGAGGCATGAGACCTTGTCAAAAGAGGAATTTGGTTAGGATTCTGATCCTTGTTATGGACTGCTGCGGGCGAATGGGCCGGACCCAGTTCAGCTTAACTCGGGGGATGACCCAACTCATAGAGTAGGCAGTTCCCAAGGTATTCTAAGCGTGGGTCCAATCGGGATTAGGCCAAGGCTCTGGGCCGTCACTTATCACTGTTGTGGTTGGACCTCGTCAAGCCCAATATCAATTTTGGCCCATACAGTTTGTCCCCCACTCTTTTAAGTTAAAGAGTATTTAGCTTAACAGAGTAGAATCAATTACCTACATACGAGACGTGGATAGGCCATGGCTCCTCAGCAGATCGCTTGGCCGTCAAAGGCGCTAGTGGGATGCACATGAGTTGGCTCGGTTCGAATTGCCGAGCCAAACAAAGAAGAGGGCTTGGAGGTTGTGGTTATGAAGTTCGTGCCTGCTCGGCTTGGCGAGGTTTAACTTGAGGAAGGATATCCGATTGGGGTGAGGAGTTTGTCTTTGGGGTCGTTTCCACTTGTTTATCTGACGTTAACCTAGCCCGCAATGTTTTGGGCTTCGTTCAACCAGCTAGGTGCGTGTTGGCGACCTTGATGGGGCTTATTGAGGTAGTCGCCGATCTTCCGAGCGGGCACAGGCATGATGGCATGGATCCTCGCCGTGCAACCGAGGCATTTCACCTAGATTGACCTAGCCAGCTTAGCTCGAAGGAGCTAAAAGGGGCCTGAGCTAGCGTGGTTAATGCGCATATGCCTCTCGCTCCCTGTAAGTCACATGCGGAATAATGGGATTGCGCCACCTGTCGCTTGTCAGTTTTGAGTTTTTAAAGGCGGCGACTCTTCATTCTTGCCATTCTTTGAGTCCAGGTTGATTTAGGAGAGAAAGAATGTCGACTTCGCTCGTTTCCTTGGGGAGTTTTGTGTTTTCTGCCATTAAATCCAGTAAATCTTTGCTTCTTTTGTCTTTCTTCTTGGTTTTTCATTGTTTTTATATCAAAAAGGTGAGGAAAATAGTGTTTAGGAGACTGTTTTGAGTGTTTTAGCTAGTTTTTGGTTTGAAATCCTACACTTTTTGGAGAAAAGGTGGTTTCTGGGAGTTTTGGGCTTGTATCTGGTAAAACGGGGCAGTTTTCTAGCTAGATCTGGGAGGAATACAGAGAAAATGGGCTTTATTTGGTTCGGGTCAGGATCTGAGTTGGGTGGGGTTGATTTTCGGGCAACTTGGACAGTGCCGAGATGGACAAAGAGAGAAGACAACAAGGCAAAGCAGTGATGTCTGGAGGGAATGAGTATGAAGATGCACCAACCATAATGGTGATCTCGGAAGGCGATGAGGCAACTCCATCCAAAGGGGTAAGCATCGCCTTTTGTCCTGGTGATGAGTTGAATGGGTACTGACGTAGAGCCAAGCGATGATGAGTTAACCGACGGAGGGTCTAGTGATGAGTCTGAACAAGAAGACACTGCCAATATGGGTCGGGCTGACGGTAGTGAGGTTCCGTCAACCAATGGCGCTAGTCAGGATGAGTTGAGTAGTCCTAGTGTAGGGATGTTGGCTAATAACACTCCATCACGGATTGAACTGGTGGAACTTACGAAGCTTTGGTATCTATACAAGATTCCAGCTTCGACAGAGATGAGGATGCCAAGCTGGTTCGAGAGAGTCGATTGGTCTGTATTGGGCTGGATCAGCATCTATGAGCAGACCTTGGTGGAGAGCATGCGTTTCCCCATTCCTCGGCTAGTACGTGAAGTGTTAAGTCACTATGGTATCGCTCCAAGCTAACTGATGTCGAATGTCTAGTGGTTGCTCATGTCGACAAAATGTTTAAGCGTTCAACATAGTGTAGAGTTCAGGGCAATGGATCTACTCCATTCGTATTACCTGAAAGAGCACGATAATGAGAGAGGTCGATACCTTTTCATGTTTCGGCATGGCCGGAAGCATTTGGTGACTAGGCTGAAGACCTATGACAAAAAGTGGAAGGACGGGTACTTTTTTGTCAGGGGTGAGATGGTTTTTGGAGTGAGCCGAGGGCATCCTTTTCTTCTAGCAGTCGACAAGTGATAAGGCTTGGTTTCTGTTTCGAGTGTTAGTACTGAATCTCATTATTTCTTCTTTTGCAGATCTCAACTACAACAGATATTTGCTGGGTCTTTGTGCCGAGGAAAGGAGCCGACCGATTCTAAATTTATCGGAAAAGGAGAGGAACTACCACCAAGTGTTAAGCGAGGCGAATTTGTGGAGAACTCTTTTGTGGAGTCAGGTTCCCGAGGTGTAGGAAGGTATCCTGTTCCACTCGGACATCTGTTGCTCTATGTATTGCTAGCTTAGTATAGCAACCTCATTGTCTTTAGTAGATCCGTACGTCATCCACTAACCGTTGAAGAATTGTGTCTTGTAGAAGAGAGGATGTCGAGCAAGTTCAAAGTGTCGTTGGTGAAAGAGATAAAGGAGAAGCGTTGGTCAGAGTCGGCATAGAAACGAAGGTCCGAATAGGGTGGAAGCTCATCGGCTCCAACGAAAACGAATCTGGGTGACGTTCCCCAGTCCACGTAAAAGATGCTGCTGATTGCTACCTTGGTGGTGCCATATGATGATAATGTGAAGATCGTTATTCCATCTGACGCTTCGACCTACTCCGATACGTCCTTTATCGGGACCGTGGTAGATTCTTTCCTTCCTTCCGAGGATGAGGGCCAACTCAGGAGGCTCGGCGCATTGCAGGCGGCCGATTAGACAATGGCGCGACTTTTTCAAGCGATTCATCCCATCCTGTTCTGCCACTTTCCTCCCATTTTACTTTGTCTAATTCGTTAATTATTTCGTGCTTTCAGGCCTTCTTTAAAGGTGCTCATCTCCAGAAGTAAGTCAACTCGCAGGATCGAAAGAACAAGGAATTAGAACGGCGTAACAAGAAGCTCACCAATACTGCCTCTAAGCTGGAAAGTAGGCTTCGTGTGGGACATGAAAGGGAAGCTCGGCTAGAGAAAGAACACACGGACTTCACTCAGTAACTACAGAGCACTCGAGTCGAATGGGAAGCTGAAAGGGCTTCGCTCATCTGCAGGCTGGAGACCATCTCTATAAAGGCGGTTCTGAAAACTCGCTCAAAGCTGATGGAAGAGGTGGGGAAACAGGGCGAATAGGAGTCGGATGAGGACATAGAGGAGTACAAAGCATTCCTCATGGAGCGAGATCTCGGACCTGAATCGGATGTCTGTGGGGGTGAAATTGAGGCGCTGGAGGCTGACGCTAGCAAATCTGCTGGAGGACCACAAGAGACAACTGACAATGAAGTGGCGCTGAGTGGACAACTAATAGGGGACGAATCCGGGCTAAGCGGATCTACCACTAAAGACCTTTAGATACATTTTCTATAATGACAAATTTTTTGGAGTGCTGAGTGCACTTTTTGTAAGTGCTAAGTGCACTGAATGATGTTTTATTTTAGCCTATAGGGTGTCAATATAGGAATGACCTGTGTTAATTTTCTGTTGTGGCAGTTGTTAAATTTTGTTGAGGTTGGATGGCCCGAATGGTTGTTGGGGATGTCAATCACTTTGGCTTAGCAAATCCACCACTCTTAAAAAATTATAAAACTTGAATGACATTTTTTATTAATTGGGTGACAACGAAATCTATTTTGGAGAAAACAAAAAAGTCTAACGGAGATTTTTGTTTTGGGGGGGGCGGGGGGGGGGGGGGTGTTGGAGTGGACAAGCCCACTCTGTCCCCCGTTGAAGAGAAAAAGGAGCAGGTGGAGCCCGACCGGCTGACTATCAAAAGTGATAGGTTTTTAGGTGTGCAACATTCCAACTATAGGTTTTTAGGTGTGCGACATTCCAACTGTTAGTGATGTTCTTGCCCTCTGGTGTTTGTAGTTGGTATGCTCCTTTGCCTATGACTTTGATGATTCTATAGGGTCCCTCCCAAGTGGTGCTAAGCTTGCTAGCACCTGACACCTTTGTGTTTTGGAAGACCTGTCGCAAAACCCAATCGCCGACTTTGAAGATTCTTGCTCGGATATTCTTGTTGTAGTGCTAGGTTACCTTTTGTTGGTGTGCAGCAGTGCGGATCAACGTTTGGTCTCGTAGCTCATCGGTGAGGTCGAGGTTGTGGCAAAGTTGTTGACTGTTGCCGTCTTCTTTTATCCACTAAAGTCATGCTGAGGGATATCCTACTTCTGTGGGGATGACGACTTTCGAGCCGTAAGCCAACGAGTAGGGTGTTTCTCCAGTTGACGACCATATGGTGGTGCGGTAGGACCATAGTACTCTAGGAAGTTAGTCCACCCAAACACCCTTGTCTTCTCTTCAATGTTTGGAGAATGGTTTTATTCAAGGATTCGGCTTGTCCATTAGCTTGAGGGTATCGAGATGTGGAGACACTCAGTTTGATGTTCCATGTCCT